AGGAACCTTCTCCTCAGCCAGAGGAATTTTGTCCGCAGCGCGAGGAACCTTGCCCTCAACGAGTGGAACCTTGTGCTCCGCGTGAGCAACCTTGTCTTAAACCAGTGGAACCTTGTCCTCCGCGTGAGGAACCTTGTCCTCAGCGTGACGAACCTTGTTGTTTTTTTGCTGATGAATCCCAGTCCCAGTGCATGAAATCCCATTTTCACAACCAAAATAAGCAAATCCCAGTTCCCATTTTACCCCTTCAGGACCCTCAGTTCAGTGCATTTTTTAAGGATTTTCAGTGGTGGTGAAAATTCTTTGCCCCCAGGAAATTTTTAAAATTTGGGTCTCTGAAATAGCATTTCCTGCATTCTGAGAGCGCATTTAAAAAAATCTCAGCTTCTCAAAACAAAGTTTTAATAGTGAAATTTGTAATAAATTTTCTTGCTAAACATTCAAACATAACACACGTTTACCGTAATGTAAACAAACGCTTTGTTTACATTTCGAACTGCTATATTTGTGAAATATTATGTTCTGGTTTATTATGCTCGTAAATGAATATAAACCAGAGTTTCAATTCAGGAAAAGTTCAAAAGATGCAAAATTTGGGCAATGTTTACATCTGTGGGTCCCCCCAGCCTCGTACCCAGGCGCAAATAACGTACTAAAAATAGCAACACTACAGTGTTTGCGCGCTCGCTCATCTTAGCCACTGATCTATATAAAAACACTGTAGTGTTGCTATTTTTAGTACGTCATTTGCGCCTGGGTACGAATCTGGGGTCCCCCTTTGTTATGAGCAGAACCGATGCGCAGAACGGACTTGACAGTATCTTTAAGTATGCTCACCAACGGAGTTATTTTAAGGCCAATGGAACTGAAGATTCTGTTTACCGTCCACCGCCCGCATGTGCGATTTTTCATTATTCTTAATTATTTTCATTATTTCTCATTATTTCTAATTCTACACATCGAAACTTTCAAATATACATCAAATCTTCGATATAAAAAGCCGTACATCGCTGACATATGATGGATCAGTCGGCATTTGTTCGGTACACTTGGAAATTTGCGAGTCAGGACATGTGCAGATTCGAAAACAACGGCGTGACAAAGAAATTTTCAGCAAAGGAAAGCCCAAAAATGATAAAAGAATGCTGGACAAAAGTGTCGATGGTCGAGATCAAAAGAAAACAATTTAAGGATTATTTTTGGTCGGAAAATAGACAATAACAAAAATAATGAAAAATGAATAATGGAGAAAAAAAACGCATCAGATTTTTTAAATTCTCGGACGGTAAACAGAATCTACAGTTCCATTGGCCTAATTGATAATATGACAATTACCAAGGCTACAGTCTGGCACAAGGAAGCATTTTAGGGCCACTTCTCTTCATTATTTATATCAACTATATGCCCAACATTGTTAAACACTGCAAGATATTACTCTACGCTGACGACACTCTTCTACACTACTCATCCAAGTCAGCTAGTGACATCGAGAAATACGTAAACGAGGACCTTCACTTGATCTCCCAGTGGCTTGATAAAAACTTACTTACATTGAACCGCAAAAAATGTAAGTTCGTCCTGTTTGGTAGTAACAGCCGTCTGAAGTCGTTCACTAATATATCCATACATGTCAACGAACATCAACTTGCCCGTGAACGTACCTTTAAATATTTAGGTATAACTTTCTCAGAAAATCTCACTTGGTCTGACCATTTAAATAATATTTCAACAAAAATTAACCAACGCATCGGACTGCTAAGAAGAATTAAAACCTTCATTCCACTCAAAAGTAGACTCATCTACAACCCTTTTATTCTTCCACTATTTGACTACGGAGATATTATATGGGCTGACAAGAATAACGCCTCCTTAATGGATCAACTACAAGTTCTCCAGAATAAGGCTGCAAAGACCATTCTTGACGCTCCCTACCTATCCTCATCCACTGAAGCCCTCAACAAATTACACTGGCAACCACTTACCCACCGACGCAAACTACACCGAATACTAACCATATATAGTGACGTCATAGATTTTGCAAGCTCATTATAAATTCCGCCAAATTAAACTTGCATGCTAATTACTTCCGACACCAAAGTGCTAGCTGGACAAAGTGACGTCTTTGGCGGCATCCCTTTGAACTCCTGATGGGGGTATTACTACTGATTACTATTAAAGTCTCACTCTTGCCTCTTTACGGGTTAATAAACTCTCTATATATGTACTTTTGTTTCAAGCTCCTTTGCTTTTTATGAAATTAGCCTTAACCCCCCCTGCTTCGAAGAAAGATTTCGCTTCATGACACTCCCCCACCCCACCCAAGTAGCCTCCGGTCCCCATGACACATACTTAATGACGGCTTACTTACATTCTTGAAAGTTATACCACTCCTTCACAAATTAACCTTCCGTTCTTAGATTAATGATGATCGTTGAAGTCGCAGTGTCTCTACTCCTTATTTGGACTATTTGGTACATCAGTAAAACTTGTATCAAGAAGCAAGGAATGCCCCCGGGACCCTTTCCCTTCCCATGGATTGGCAATATACCTCATGTAATATCCGACCAAGTATTTCCTTTTAGGAAATTGTCTAAAGAATATGGAGAAATCTTCACTGTATTCATGCCCAATGGAACGTTTGTTGTACTAAATACCGCATCACTCGCAAGAAATGCAAGACTTGGCACAAAAGACGACATTCCCGGTAAGTCATCCGAATTAACTTATCCGTTGGAACAAATATTTGGGAAGGACGTTGTCATTTCAGATTACTCAGCCGGGTATTTATTTCGCAAGAAAGTGTTTAAATCATCAATTCATGTATTTGGATCCGGTCTTGGGCAAGCTGAAGATCGTGCAAGACTTGTTCAATTGTACTAGAAGAAATTGAAAAATGTCAATCCTTCTCGCCAAACAAACTTGTCCAATCAACAATATTTGCACAAGTTTGGGAATGGTTAACATCTAAGAAGATTAATATCGATGATCCGATTATAAGTTTATTTAACGAAATGCAAGAGATAATAATGAATCTGCCTAGAGAAATATCCATATATCTTTTGATACCCATCCTTGGATACATAACAAACAACTTCAACCATAAGCTAGAGAGGGCAAAAGATATCAGGAAACAGCTATTTGCACATGAATTCTCTGCTCACCGTGAGACCTACACTCCAGGTGTCATACGGGATTTGACAGACAGCTTCATCAGTGCCTACGAGAAAGAGATTTCAAACGGGACAAGCAAGGACATCGGGTCGATAGAAGATATACCGGATTTAATGTTAGATGTTGTTGTAGCAGGAATAGATACAGCCTCGACTACAATTTGTTGGTTTATTCTTTATACTACCTTACATCAAGATATTCAAGCAAAACTCCACAAGGAGCTTATGACGTGGTAGAAAATGATCGCCTTCCATGCTGGCAAGATGCTCAGAACATGCCTTATTTACAGGCTACTTTATGCGAAGTACTACGGAGATCAGAACTTCTTCCAATCACAGGGACACTGCTATTCGTGATACAGCTATCGGTGGTTATCATATTCCAAAGAATACGAACGTCCTCATAAATGTTACGAAATCCACCATGACCCAAAAGAATGGCCCGAACCTAATGAATTCAAGCCTGAACGATTTCTTGACAGTGATGGAAAGTTTGTGGGTTGGACAACGAAACATGCTTTCATGCCCTTTGGACTTGGTCGCAGAGAATGTCTCGGTCAGCTTTTTGGAAAGATCTTGATGTTCACATTTGCATCAACGTTGCTACATCTCTACAAGATTGAGCTTCCTGAGGGCGCGGAGAAACCAAGTACTTCACCCATTGGTCTACATTTTCATCACCCCAAAGATTTCACGGTTGTCGCGAAAAAACGACATTAATATAAGTGTTTACATCGGGAAAGATCTTCCCTTGAAGTTACTTAAATCACATTAAGTTTTCATTAAGTCCAGGGGTGGAAAAATTATCGGAACCTGGGAACCTAGTTCCCAGAAATTTTTTTGAGTAAATTTTCCAGAAAATATTTCAACATTTTGAGATAACTCTGTTTACTCAACTTACAAGTTACAACTATTCTACTTTATTTACACTGTACATGCTAACATCAGCAGCTTTTAAATATTTGACAGAAATTAATTCTTTTATCCACCCCTGCCATCACAATGACTGGTAAAATGGTAAATATATGCTCTGCGAAGTCTCCAATAAAATGAAAATTAAAAGTAAACAAATAAAAGTGATGGAATAAATAAGATAGGACAGTTAAGCGTTAGATCCTTACTATGATGTTTGTGATGTTATTCTGAGTGTGTATCCACACGGGCAAGCTTGAAAAATATGCCTGGCCACGGTTGGAATCGAACCTACGACCTTTGGAATACTAGCCCAATGCTCTGCCAGCTGCGCTACGCGGTCAGGTCGGTTCGAGTATGTGATATTTCGGAACTGAGTTTAGTTCCTTCGACATCAATGTAATCTAAAAATCATGATTTTTTGTGTTGGTGTTGTGTACTCAGGTGAATATGATGTTTGTGATGTTACTTTGAGTGTGTATCCACACCGGGCAAACTTGAAAAATATGCCTGGCCACAGTGGGAATCGAACCTATACGACCTTTGGAATACTACATTACATTGATGTCGAAGAAACTAAACTCAGTTCCGAAATATCACATACTCGAACATTGGGCTAGTAATCCAAATGTCGTAGGTTCGATTCCCATCGTGGCCAGGCATATTTTTCAAGTTTGCCCGGTGTGAATATACACTCAGAGTAACATCACAAACATACTCACCTTAGTACATAACACCAACACAGAAAAAATCAAGATCCTTACTAGTTGGTCATAATTCATAACTGTGGTATATAACAGACAACTATTGTGATGTACAAGCGTACGAAAACCAGCCTAAAGCCCATTATTACTAAAGTACAAATAATACAATAATTATGCATTTGTTTTGTTATATTTGTAATTGTAACATTACAAATTTTACAGAAAATTTCTAGCCTTCGACCCAGGTTCCCAGAAAGAAAATTTTTTTTCCACCTCTGATTAAGTCTTTAAATTTGTTCATAAAATGGAATAATCAATCAATAAATCAATCAATTTTCAGTGTCGCACTTTTGTATACACTATACAATTGGGCTTGTCCGTTTTGTGGAAAGATTCAATGGGCAATTCCAACTATAAACAATTTTGATCTAGACAATAAGAACAATATCCATCACCACAGCTAGAAAGAGCATGTCAAAATTAGTAAAATTGCAAATTAAGTTTGGTTGCGGAATGTTGTAAAATGTGGAAAATATAGCCCTGTGAAGTTCGCAAATTTTGTAGAGATTTGTATTGCGCGCGTAAAACTGAAATGAGGGTCCTGAAGGGGGGGTCCCAATCCCATTTCCCACCTGAAATTTTGGCAAAATCCAAGTCCTAGTTGAATTTTTATTAGAAATCCCGGTCCGAGTTATTGAAATCCCAGTCAATAATTAAGCCACCGTGTGTGCGCACCGTGTGGCAGAAGCGGTTGTGCTTTGCCTTTGAGGTATATACTAAGGGTTAAATGAAGTATATACCGGAAACCAGGCATATATTCCGCTGTGCATCTGACTTGGGGACACGCACAATCAGAAAATCCAGAATTCCGGGCGCCAGAGTATGCCTGTTCGCAGGGAGTGCTGTGAATAATATAGTTGCAACAAAAATCATGACCAAAGACACCAAAAACGGATCAAAAGTGTATTTTCTGAATTCTTAAAACGTGGAAAAATTGGGAATCGACTCGCATTACCTCAATCCCATTTTTGAGGACTTCATTTCCCATGCATTCCCATCCTCGTCCCCAGGGCCTCTCGGCCGCGTGCGTCCTCCCTAGGCCCTGGGACACACGGAACCGGGAGTGCATGAAAACTTGCAGTAGTTTCTAAAGCGCATGCTCTTGAATTGGGACACTTTAGCACCCGTAAGAATTTTCACAGTGAAGTATTAAGATGAAACGAAGTATTTGTGTTGACATATGTTGATAGAATAATTTTGCCCAGCGAAAACTGCTCAACTTCTGCGAAATAGCAGTTCTCTGAGAAGCCAATCAGATCTCTTCCTTTAGTCGTCTATCCCAGAGCCTAATTTTCAACGAGTGACCGAGTGAAAATGGCTCTGGGGACGAGAATGATGCATTCCCAGTGGCCAAATCCCAGTCCCAGCAACTCAAATCCCATTTCTCCAGTCTAAAAATAGATCAATCCCAGTTCCCATTTTACCCCTTCAGGACCCTCTGAAATAGCCATTTTTGAGACCCTCACTGGACCTCTATAAGGAGAACATGCACTTTAGAACTGATAGTACTATCCAGTAAAAATGAAGTCAATTTATTAATTTTAAGTCGCACACAAAATGGTTTTCTGAAAGATATGTATACGTAGGAAGCAGGTATGCTTAAAAAGTATCCTTAAAAATAAAGTAAAACTACTATTGTCGTCTGTAGCGTGTAGGGGTGGGGGGAACTTCTCTCCTATTACCTGTCCCACAATTAAACTAAATCAGGAATAAATCAAGTAAAATTAAACAAAAATTATAAAGTAACGAAATACTTCGCCACAAAATTAAAATAATGAAGTAAAACATTACTTTAATCTTTATCTCTTTAATGTGCAAAATTCATTTCTCTTGTCTTAGATTCGCGCGCGTTAATTGGAATCACTTCACTACGTTTGAAATGACGTGGTTGATGTGCCGTTTAGTTAAATTTCAAATGACGCGAGCCAACAGATCACGACACTTTTGTATATAAAAGAGGGCGTGTGAAATTAACAAGTCACATATTATCACAGAATAGGAAGGTATACCAGAAGTTTCACTGAAGCAAGTATTTGTCTGCGTTTTTACAAGCGTATTCGTCATCAATCACGCCATCCTGGCTAGTACAACCGGCACTTTGTACCTACCAAAACCTGATAAAAACTTCCGGCTGTACTAGCCAGGATGGCGTGAACGAGTTAAAATTTTCGTGGACGTAAACACCGACTCAAGTTACACTTTTAGCACTGATTATTAGCACTGATGAAGATCCGGGCTTACGGATCGAAAGCTTTGCAGTAATAGATTTACGTGGTGTTTCCACAAACAAAACTATGATAAAACATTAAAACGATTTTGTTCCAAGTAAAAGTACTCCAGAAAACGTTTACTTAGTTACATCATGGATAATAAATTACATGCTGACTTCTCAAAAATAGTACTCAAGCACAGTAACGAAGTACATTTACTTCGTTACTTGACACCACTGGGGTGGATGGACTTCACACGCCCCCGTAATCAAGGACACACGCTACAATGAGTAAATCTCGAACGATCTGTTCCAGTGTAAGTCAATGAATCACGTTCAACAAATTCTTATAGTTTCTTAATAAAAGAAATGGCTGAAAAATCTGAAACAGTATGCACTAGAGATCTTGATCCAAATGAGCACAAATTCCGTTTTGCAATGTTTAGGCTTAGTTTGTTCGCCTTTAGCCACATTCTGAGTTTTCCAAATCAGAGTTCATTGTATTTTCAACATCATTAATTGTTCCACCGGAAGCAGTTAGGTTTGTGTCATCTGCAAAAAGTCTTGGCTTTGTCCGATTTAGGCATTCAGATAAATCATTTATGTATATTAGGAAAAATAAAGGACAAATGACATCATATTACACCACATCATCTGACGTGACGTGACATGAGATGACAACGCATCAGATCAGATTACACCTCATCATATCACACCAGAAGATTACATCGCATCACCTGACATGACGTGACGTGACATTACATATGACATGACATCACATCTCATCACATCACATCACATCAGATTACACCTCATCACATCACATCACATCAGATTACAACTCATCAGATCAGATCAGATTACATCATCACCTGACATGACGTGACGTGATATGACATAACATAACATAACATATTATACCATATCACAACACATCACATCGCATGAAATCGCATGGCACATCGCATCACATCACGCCACATGACATCACATGATATCACATGACATAACAGATATGACATCAAAATGAAGCAACGAACATTGTGATTTGTCCTAAAAATGACAGAATATAGAAACGTAGCTGGTAACAAATTAAAAGGTAGCAGAAAACAACATGCATGGAAACAACATCAACAACAAATATCAGACATTGATATTTTCTTCATTCGCAGGGCCACCGAGAGGGAGCAGGGGGGGGAATTTACCCGGGCCCCGAGGTACAGGGGGCCCATGGAAATTTTTGGTTGTTTAGATCTTAATTGTATTTGATCCGTTCACCAGTGACAGTGTATTAAATTATTATCTGATAGCACCAATGGACTTGAGTCGAAAGCTTCGCCAAAGCCGAGGCAAAAGAAATGAACTTGTCCTCAGAACAAAACAAAACAATTATATCTATTTTTAACATGCAAACCTACAAGTCCTACAAGGTCAAAGAAGCATTCTAGGCAGAAATAACATGTAAGATTGTAAAATAAGTTCACTGGACAACTTTTCTAGCTTAGGGAGAAGACTTTAGAACTGACAATATACAGATATTGAATTGCTTGAATGCTTTAGACATTTATCAACTTCAATAACATATTGATAAACCAAGTACAACAACCACCGGAAAATAAGTATCCCTAAGGGAAAACCTAAGCTAATAGAGACAAGACAATTCAGGCACTTCAATCCGACTGATTTCCAAAACAATCTTAGAGAAGCATTTAGTAATTTCAAACATTATACCGAACCCAACTTAGCATGGCATCAATGGAAAGGGATATTCCTTCAAATCGCTGATAAACATGCACCCCTGCGATTAAGAAAAGTGAATATACCCCATGGCTAACTAACGAAATTAAAACATGAGTTATCACAGGAACTTTTTAAAAAAGAAAGCAGTAAGTCTTAATTCTCCAGGGTACCAAGAAGCATATAAAAAATACAGAAATGAAGTAAACAGTCGTATCAAAGTCGCTAAAACAAATTACTACAAAATGAGTTTGGAGAATAGTACTAATAGCAAGGATAGCTCGAAAATTATAAATAAATTACTGAATAAGGGATCGAAGACTACTTCTATAAATAACTTACAATTAACAAGAACAAGAAACAGGTGACAAAAACATTGCAAACGAATTTAATAACTTTCTGTAAGATAGGCCACAACTTGCAGAAAATATACCATCATCAGATTTCGACCCTTACATTATGTGATTCCTGGAGCAAATGCTTTCGAATTTAAGAACATTAAGAGGGCAGAATTGGTGAGCTTGTTAAAGAAGGTTAAAGCATCTAAGGCACCAGCCCTTGATAAGATTTCTAGTAAATTACTTAAAGCAGCAGGCGACTCCATAATTGAATCACTCATGTACTTCTATCTATAAATCTGGAGAAACAACCAACTGTGGTAATTATAGACCTATTTCTATAATATCAGTTGTTGCAAAAATCTTGAAGAAGACTATTTTTAATCAAATATTTGACTTCCAAACACAAAATTCAATTTTGGTGAATCAACAATCAGCCGCTTTACACTTATTTTAATCTTATCTCTCTGAAAGAAAACAAATATGTAAACTTCAAAATACAATGTCAGAAGTTGCTAATGTAAATTGCGGTGTTCCCCAGAGATCAAACCTTGACCCATTCCTCTTTCTGTTGTACATTTTTTTTATATAAACTTTATTAATATATTTGCCTCAAAACCCGAGGCTTATCAAACTTCTCCTCAGCGTGAGGAACCTTCTCCTCAGCGTGAGAAACCTTGTCCTCAGCGTGAGGAACCTTGTCTTCAGCGTGAGGAACCTTGCCCTCAGCGTGAGGAACCTTGTCTGCAGCGTGAGGAACCTTGTCTCAGCGTGAGGAGACTTGTCCTCAGCGGGAGGAACCTTGTCTCAGCGGAGGAACTTGTCCTCAGCGTGAGGACCTTACCTTGTCCTCAGCGGAGGAACTTGTCCTCAGCGGAGGAACTTTCCTCACGAAGGAACCCCAGCGTGAGGAACCTTGTCCTCAGCGTGAGGAACCTTGTCCCCAGCGTGAGGAACCTTGTCCTCAGCGTGAGGAACCTTGTCCTCAGCGTGAGGAACCTTGTCCTCAGCGTGAGGAACCTTGTCCTCAGCGTGAGCAACATAGTCCTCAGCGTGAGGAACCTTATCTTCAGCGTGAGGATTCTTGTCCTCAGCGAGAGCAACCTTGTCCTCAGCCGGAGGAAACTTTTCCTCAGCGTGAGCGAGTGGAACCTTGTCGTCAGCGAGAGGAACCTTGTCTTCAGCGTGAGGAATTGTCCTCAGCGTGAGGAACCTTGTCCTCAGCGTGAGGAACCTTGTCCTCAGCGTAGGGAACCTTGTGCTCAGCGGGAGGAACCTTGTCTTCAGCGGGAGGAACCTTGTCCTCAGCGGGAGGAACCTTGTCCTCAGCGTGAGGAACCTTGTCCTCAGCGTGAGGAACCTTGTCCTCAGCGTGAGGAACCTTGTCCTCAGCGTGAGGAACCTTGTCCTCCGCGTGAGGAACCTTGTCCTCAGCGTGACGAACCTTGTTCTCAGCGTGAGGAACCTTGTCCTCAACGGGAGGAACCTTGTCCC